TATCACATCAATAGTAGTGTCAGTTATCCCAGATAAAACATGGAGAATACTTCCAGAAGACAACATGGTTGATGTATATGAATATGTATATCAAATAGCTCTATTCCATATTCCTGGATTATGTTTTTATAAATCTAGGTCCCAATCTTGCAGCTGGCAAATACATTGGCTATAAGCATGGGAAAGCCTCCGTTGACTTACACTGCTCAATGAAGACAGGTGCTGTTTAGCCAGGGTTAAATCACATCTGCTTTGTGGTGCTATTTCAACAAAACTGGGAGGGAGACTTGCCTTGGCTGCTGCCTTGACAAAAGCTTACAGATAAAGGGAACCAGGGTGGCTGTGGAAACTGGGCACTCCTGTGAGTCTGACACACTTTGAGGCTTCTGTCACACCTGTGGGCTGGAACCAGTGAGGTGCTGACTGGGGGAGGGCTGTTGGTCTTGTGACAGCAAGGCATCTTTGAGCCATCACATGTGCCAGGTGATTGAATTCATCAGGGGCAGGCAGGTTCTAAGACTACATGTGGGGCTCTTGTTTTGGCAAGTATTCCTTTCTTCTTTCATACCTTTTGATGATTTTTTTCATGCTAGCCTTTTTAGGAAGCAAGATTTGTATTAAGCCAAGATTGTCTGCTGGGTCTTCACCCATCTTTTGCTTTAAGACTTGAAACTATTGTTACTAGTGCTTATTTATGGTTTTTTGTTTGTTGGGTTGGTTTTTTTGACATGGACAAAAGACAACTCGGAAGTAAATGTGGGCACTTCTAAGGTAGAATCTGGTTCTAAAACCCATGGAATTTTTGCGTGTGTTTTTCTGCTGAGAAATTATCAATGTAAAATTTTGTTTTCTGAGTAGAACAGTAGCAGTTCAAAGCTGTTGTGCTGTAGTATTATAAATTTCAGTCCTCTGGTGCTGGAAGGAAGAAGACTGAAGATCCTATTTCTTTTTAAAACAGCCAGAGTAGAAATGATTAAATCAATTTTTCCTCAAGCTGCAGCTACTTCTAGCTTACAGGAGTCAATTCAGTTGCTCAGCTGACTGTCCTGACATGTTGAAGCATAAGGCAAGACTGCGTGGACTGGCCAGTGTGGCAAGAGCATCTGCAGAGAGACCCCAAAACCTTCTGGGGCAAAACCTGGGGGTCACAGTATATGTCTAAATAACTTTTTTCTTTGGTGCAATGAGCTTCTCTGTAGGCTCTTCCTGCACTGTGACTGGAAGAGTTCCTGGATGATACCTGTGACAAACACACTGCACAGGGACATTCACTTTAGCTTTTAAGATGACAGCAAAATGGATTCAACTTTTATTTTACTCTCTAAATTACCTATTTCACTTTCCAAAGCACTGAGCATCTATCAGGTTCTGTTTAGTGCTCTCACAGTCTTGGGAAATTAAATAATGTAGTCTCACAGCTCCAGAGAGCTTTTTAAAAGCCTGCTGTTGGTTACATCTTTCTGACAATCAGGAGTGAAGTATTTTGTATGTGTGTACACACTTGCACATATGCTTGGCCACCCACAGAGTTTTCCCTATAATGTATGAGCTACTGGGCTGTAAAACTGTTCATACCTTGGCACCAATATATCTGTATTAATATTTGTCCCTCAGACTGCAAACATCAGGGTAAATTGCCTGAACTTAATCTAACAGTAGGATACAGACAGCTGTAATTGTAATCCAAACAGTTGGAATTTGGTGGGCAGGAATAAACAGCAAGATGTGGCTGGAACTGGACACTGAATACTTCCAAAGAGAATTTTAGCCAAGCACATTTCTTGTACGTTAATTATTCTGGCATATAAACCCAGATTGGTCTGCCTGGCAAATGCAGGAGTAGTTCAAGGATTGCAGGGAAGAACATTTCCAACACAGTAGGACAATACTGTAGTTAATTGCCGCATGTTGCATCTTGACTCATAGAAAATGACTGTTGGCTTTGACTAAAAGGAAAAGGAGAAAGAAAACCCCTAACCTGCTTCATGTGTGTCGGGGAGCCATATCTGAAATCTAAGCAATTGATTTTCTTTTCAGAATAATCAGTGCATTCCAGCTGGGTTGGAAAACTACTACTCTGAACAAGACTCCAGTGCTCGAGGGAAATTTTACACAGTCATAAACCACTACAACCTGGCCAAACAAACCATCACGCGCTCCGTGTCCCCGTGGATGACAGTACTGTCAGAAGAGAAACTGTCTGAACAGGAGACTGAAGCTGCTGAGAAATCAGCTTAGTATGATAAGCTAATTATTAAAACTATGTCATTTGAAGGTATCTAAGGGACTTCAAGGAACTTTTCATTAAATATAATTATGGATAATTTAGAGGTTACTCATGTTTATGGTGTAACTGCTTCTGTTTGCTGATACTGCTTTGCAAAAAAGAAAAAAACTGAAAACAAAAACTAGCTGCAGAACATTCATGGGCATAACCCCAGGTGCATATCAGCATTGCTGTAGAGCTTTGACACCATTTTCAATGTTAAAAAAAATTCCAATGTTAGATATGTTCTTGCAGTTTATTGGATACTGATAGAGTTTGTCACTGGATTTTCAGGGCTTGGACCTTAGATAAATCATGTGTTCTGTTGTCTGAACAGATACTTAAGTTATTAAGTTTTTGAATTCTTTATCATTTTGCAAACTGAAACACCCCAGCCATAACTAGAGTGATCTCTTGTTTAGCTGAAAGCTGTAAGCAATGTTTAGTTTGGGCTCAAGCAAGAATGATAGTCAGCACTGACATCGGGGCGTAATGTAATGACTTGTATGAAGAAAGAAACTGTCAGGTCGCATTTTTCCTTATATTTCCTTTACTGTTTTTTGTAAGTGATAATGAAGTTCTCTGCAACAAGGCATGCTCAGTGTTTTCTTATTGCTGTCAACAGGATTTAACTGCATTTCCACTGTGGCTTTAGCATCTTGGTAAGGATGTGCACTGAAACACAAACTAGATAGGCATTTTGGAAAAACACAGGCAGTTTTAGTGGTGGGTGTTGATGATAGCATAAAAAATATTCAGGATGTTCTAATGAGAAATGACATCTTTTGATTATACTAAAGAGGCAAAAAGCCTATTTACAGTACATGTACTCCACTATGGCATTTGTTGGATACAGCTGAAGGAGTAATATGTCTAAATTTTCTCTTGTATTACATCCACATTTTCCCTTTTTATTAGTTAGAGCTTTCTGTTTATGTATGGTTTGCAGTTTGATACTTTTTAGAACATGGAGGATCACAAGTGAAAAAGTAGCATATTAGATACCACAACTGGCTCTTAAAGCTCTATGTGAAACCGAGTGAAGAGTAGAACTGTTTGTGTATGGCTTGGGAGGGGAAAAGATGTAGAGGAACATAGTATTGTGGATGCACGTTAAAAGTTCCATTGTAATTACAAATTTACCTATTCTTTGTGTGAAATCATGTTTTCATTTTTATTATAAATCTTAAATATACATTATAAAAAGACATCTTATTAATTTAACATACAAAAGCATGTGAAGCATCTGGGCAAGTAAGTTGCCTTTTCGTTCATGTAACGAATGGGACAAGGGAGAGTGGACATGTCAAAAGTTCCTTTTTTCTTGGTAGAGTTGGTACAAAAACGAAGGGAAAACATCAGTATAGGCTGTTCCTCACGATCTAATGTGGTCAGCTCTACTTCTGTTTTTCTCCAGCAGAAGCCTGTCATCCCAATACAGTAAAAATAACCCTTATGACTCAATGTCTAAATTTGACAGGAAATGTGCATTACACAGTGCAGCTGTAAAAGGCTTTTATTAAGTCATCATGGTATGTGGAATGCCTAAGAAGCAATAAACTATGTGCCAAATTTTTCTCTGCGTTTAAAATACCAAGCTTCTGTTAAGATCTTTAAAGCATACCATGTCTGCATTTTTTAACAGGCATCTGCTTAATTAATATAATTAATTCACATGTAACTTTTGACATTTTCACTCTGTGCAGAGTAAAGAGTAAGAATGATGTTGCCTGTTGCATAAAATGTATAGAAATATACATTCAGAAGAGAGACAGGAAAACACACACATTTCATATCAACGTACTTGTAGAGGACATTCAGATTTTACAGGATGGAAAGGTCTGTTTCCCAAGACTGTCTTAAATAGAAATTCACGATACATCTCCTCCCCTTAAATTTAGGACAATAAAAACTTTAATGCATAAGTAAATACTGATGAGAAACAACTTCTTTTTCTCCTCTTAACAATAAACAATAAAAATTAGTAAGCCTTACAATCTAGGAGAAACAGATTGTTTATGCTTCTTGAAGTCAAAATCATTTTCCCTCTGCTTTATCAGGAGGGAGTTTATTGAGTCTTATCTACACTTGGTTTTCAGACTTTAGTTTACAAATTGCTCCCAGTCTTAGTACTTTGAGGAGTCTGACTTTGTCTATCCTTTGGCTTTGTTCCAGCATCCCAGAACATCTGTTTCATTGCACAATCTGTTTGTGTTGTATTCTCTCTCTTCACTTACAAGTAAAGCTCTTTTGTTGACTCCTTATCATTATTACTACCATGAGATGAAGCTGATTTTTGAGTCAAGTAGTTTCAAAGGATTAGAAGTAAAGGTCATTTATGTGCAAAGTGATCACTGTGTACTGAAGTGGTGTGATGAAATAAACGCCTGAGACAGTGTAGATGCTTTTGCACAGTAACAGTTTTCTCTTGATCTGGGATGGGAGCTGGACTTTGCACAGCACAGGTGGGTGGCTGTGACAAAACCAGGATTGTTTTTTCTTCTGTCAGCTCTGCTCCAGCTTGTAGCTTTATTCACAGCTCTTTCAAAGAATTTTATGTTCTCCAGAGGACAAGCATGGTTTTATGTTTGATACAGGGATTTAAAATTAATGTACTAATGGATATGTGCACACACATTTATTGGAAAATATTTCCATCATAGAGGTATGAGAAAATGCATAAAATACGCAAGTATGCTGTTATACCCCCCTCCACTAAAAAAAGACCATTTAAAAACAGAGCATGGAGCCAGTAGTATGTTTAATTAATTATCATACCAGTCCAGGAAAAGCAAGGAGAATGAACACATCACAAGGAAGAAGAGGATCCATACTCTAAATCCAGCATTGTTTTTGATGGCCTGTGAGGGAAAGGTTATCCCTGTTACCATTACCAGTAAATAGAATTTCAACAGTGGCAACCCAGAATGCCTGTTTGTGACATCATCCTTCCCTCCCACAAGAGAAACAACAAAATTTGCCTTTAATTTCAGGTGAATGCAGATCAGGTTGGCTGTACTTCTTTAGATTTATCATACTGAAGTCGCACTCAAAATCTTAAAATTGCCCATTTGGAAAAAAAAATAAAACCCATTCAAATCCCAAGATCTCATACAGTCAAACACTAGGAACTATATCAGAAAGTACATGCTTCAAAGTTAAAGTGAAACTCTCTGATTAAAAGTAATCAGGCCTTCATCTTTCTAATAAAGATCTGACTTGAAACAAATCAAAAAAGAACAAAACCAAACAACAAATAAAGAAAAACAAAATCCCTGACACCTCTGGAAATAACTCAGTCACTTATTTCAATCTCAGAGCCAGTATTTTTCTTGGCTTCTCCATTCCAACATTTAGACCAACAGGGGACTTGTTTTTGGTCTCATTTTTAGACTTATATATGGATTTTTTTTTATATGATACAAACACTAATGTGAGTAACAAAGTCTTTTATTTTACCGCCTTTCACTATTCCTCAGGATGAAAAAGTGAAGCAAAATCTAGCTTCAGTTCTTGCCATATTTGGTGCACTTTTCAGAAGAGCAGAGCAGTGGATAACTCATCCTTGAGATACCTTTTCTGTATGCTCTCAGGAGGGAGAAAGAAGTGAGCCATTTACTCAGTAGCCTAATTCAGGAACTCAATTTTTACTGCAATCTCAGTTCCCAAAAGAAAACATCCTTTCCTTCTAATTAGTAAAAGAGTGGAAGAGATTTGTTTCCTAGGAGCATGCAAGAGGTGTTCAGGGTGGTAAAGAGTCTCTTCTGCTAACACTCAGCATTCTGCTTCAACTGTTTCAGCACTGTCTTATATTGGTAGTCTGCAATTTCTGACACCCCCCCCCCCTTATTTTTTTAAAGAAACTTCACAGGTGCTTAAATGCAAGGCAGGTGACCTTCATGTTTAAAAACTGCTGAGGACAAGTAGATTTCTGCAGTCTTGTGTAGCTATTCAGATCATGAACTATTGAGAAGCTCAGCTGTCTTGAACAGTTTTCCCAAACCCCTGTCCTGACACCCAACACCCACTGCACCAGTCCCATGGGTGAGCTCACACGTACTGTTTTAAAGCAACACCTGGAAAAAACTGAAAGTTAGGGAAAATGAGTCTAAAACACAACTTCAAGATATTACCTCTCTTATGTCTTCATTGCCTTCTTTTATATTCTCTGTTGCACCCACAACCAATTGATGGATATTGTCAATATCAGTTTCCTGTTTAAAAAAGAAATAAAATTGAGAAATAGTAATGAATGTTATGGAAAAAACACTTCCAAGGACTTGGGGAACAAGCAGAACTCAAAAGTAAAATAAAATTTGGTATTACTAACATCTTTGTTTCATTCATGCAAAGGCAGAGAGTAATACATTTAAATTGTAATTTCTTTATTGGTGATTTTATGAACCTGAATGGAAACCACCAAGACCAGAAGGAAGTCTCCCATTTATCTAGAGTCAATTTTTCTGAATTTTCCCAGCTCTTTTGGAGGGGGTGCCAACATTTCCAGAAAGGATGCTGTTAAAGAATACCTTTAACATGACACTAGTTCTGAAGCAGAGGGATCATTCTAACACATATCTCTCATTTTCCATTCCTGGTACATACTAGTAAGTAACAGCAGTAAATATCATGATATTAAATTTGAAAAACAAACAAAAATATTTTACTTCACATTTGTATTGAAGATTTGTTAATTTTACGTACACAAGTTGGCAATCAAGACCAAAATGCCCCAAGAAAATCTCAAGTTGTATTTGCTGCTGTAGTATTAAATTATACTAACCTGTTGCAAGACTTTCTCTGTGAATATCTCTTGTAATCTGGAGATTTCCACCACTTTTCCTTCAATTTGTCTTGGCAAAGAACAGAAATACTCCATTAGAAACTAGTGCAAACATGTCTTGCTGCTGCAGATTCAGACCCTCCAGCCCAGTAAGTGGCTGCTCAGGAGGCCACTGCTTTGTCAGTTATCTGTGAGGCAGCAGTAGCCTGGACTAGGGCTTGCACAGTGCCTGGCTGGAAGACAACCAGCCCACAGTGAAGCCCTGGGAAAGGCACCCCCAGAAGTGCCTTTCATTTCTTGTAATGCTTTCATTTCATACAGTAACATCCCTGCTGGGCCTTAAGCAGTTGATTTTGACACACCCTTTTCATATGCTACTCTGGTGTGTGCAGTTCACCTTGCCTAGGACTGATAACCAAATTCAGTTTCTAGCTTGAGTAGCTGTGTGGGTGTTCTGCACAGCTGGGGAGAGTGAATGGCACCACCGCCTGTCTGCACGGGGTCAGCAAAGGCACCTCCCTTGCTGCCATCTGGATATCCAGCAGACAACACGATAGAAATGGAAAATTTACTTTAAAACTTGGGTAAGGGAGAATATCAACGTTCCACATGTAACCAGTGCTACCATTCTTTACACTGTGGGACAGCACACGGTTCCTTTCCTGGGCACTGGTGTTTTGGCCCAGCTCCTCCCACAGCACTAGAGCAGGAGCAGGCAGGTGTCCTGCAGCCAATGCCCTGCACTCGGGGACTGACTGGGGCATGGGAACACCACTGATCTGCCAAGTAACAGAAAATTGTACCTGACTTCATCAAAGAGATTGTTCATTTCACCAACAAGTCTCTGGTTCTCCTGTTCAAACTGGAAAAAGAAGAGAAGGAAATGACACACCAAATTTATAGGTTTAATTCCCCAGAAGTGAGTCTGAAATGAGGTATGTGTTTGAAGACAGGTAACAGTCAATCTCACAGAGAAAGGTTTAGTCTTCTGACACAACAATTTCTATCATAAAGAATGAAGAAAAAATTTTTATTTAACATCCTGATTTCTTTTAATGTCCAGATTTCTTTTTGTACTAGAGGCTCACTGTCTACCTCATTGGGAAGAACAGCCTTCTCTCCTAGGTTAAAGGAGAGTCTAAGACGAAGGTTACTGGGCACTGCCACCTTCACTGTGAGGTAGAGGTCTCAGGGAAGGCTTCCATGAATTGAAGGGGAACAGAGAGCAACATATTGCACAGTTCCATAAAGTCCCATTGATCTGCACTCTGAAGATCCAATGGTTTTGTCAAATAAAGTAATACCAGTGTTGCAATACATTCAAGTGTCATTGTCACTGCTGTCTGTAGTGACACCACCTACAGAGCAGAGCATTTCTGAAAGTGTAATTGCCTAAAATACAGTGATATTTACTTCACAGCAGCAGATGGCTAAAGGTGCTTCATCACTGCACTGCTTTACATTCATGACTATTGTATGTCTGGTTCTGGTGGAGTCACCTCACAACAAAGCCAAGGCACAGAGCAATGAAGTAGAACCATGAGATTTAGCACTGGGATCGCTGGTTGGCCCTTGGGTGACTAAGTGGGGCCACCATGCTGCAATTGTTTTTTCTGACTTTTGTAAGGATATCTGTACAAATATTCAATATTAGAAATTCCCTATTTTGCTGCCTTAAAAAACTGAGATGGTAACTAATTGAGAAGACAAATTTTCAGTAAAGAAACAGTGAATTACTTTAATCCTTTACAAATAGCACAAATCCACTTGAGAAATTATTCTTTAAAAACTCCCTTTGATATTTAAAACCTTCCACTGGCACAGATTGCTTTTTAAATTGCTAAATGATCTTTGCAACTTGAAATCATGGCTGATAGAGCACTTGCACAGACAGCAGTTAAGATATGCTAAAAAAGGCAATTGAACAAAGGATTTGAGCACTGAACACATCATATACCAGTGCGTCACAAAAGGATTTACATGATGGGAAGATAAAACCAAGCTCTAGCAATCAGCATAGCTCAGCGATTTATGGCTTATTAAAGTAGCCCCTTTCATGACAGTGAAAGATTCTGTCACCAAAGTATGGCATAAAGTGACAAACTGCTTAATATATGGCTAAAAATCCAAGGCATAAAATAAATTCCTTTTAGTTATCTCATGAGAGAACTCATTAGATGTGCTGTTCCTGAATTTAAGACCAACTGACCAAAGAAAAGATAAAGTCAGAGAAAAGTAGATACTTTCATGGCTCCAAACAGCAGAGACAGATTTTTCCCACTCTATGCAATCACAAGACATCTGCTCACAATAACTGTAAAGAACATTAATATACCTGTATTCAGAGTTATAAACTGAAATTTATTGTGTGAATCATGCAGCAGCCTACAAACATATTGAATAACGTCAAGCTCTCTCCTGAGGGTAAAATACCAATAGGAATTGATGCTTTAGCAATGACAGGGCTTTAATTCATTATTTAATCTACACAAAGGATCACAGAACCATGACTGAGGATTTGCTAAGTATGATATGACACAAACCATCCCAATTTAAAACCAACACAGCAGTTTACAGACTGCAAGCTACCTTTTCATAGAATTGTTTTAGAAAAGATCTTACAGATCAAGATAACAACCTAAGGCCACCACTAAACCATGCCCCTAACTGCCATGTCTACATGTCTTTTAAATACCGCCAGGGATGGTGACTCCACCACTTCCCTGGGCAGCCAAAGCTCAAAAACCCTTTCAGAAAGGAGATTTTTCCTATGATTCTAGGCCTACAGAACAAAAGTGGCATTTAGCTTTCAGTCAGCAGGCCCTGTCAGAGCCATCATCCTCAACTCTCATTTCCCGTTTTCACTGGAAGCCGACAGCAAGGAGCCTAACAGTATTGTGCCTAAAGAAAGGAGAATGAAAACATGTAAAGAATTATCTTTTAAAAGAAAACAGCAGAGTAAGCCTCTAGATTTTAGATTGGCACTCAAGAACAATATGAGAGCATACAGAGCAACCTCTGAAGAAAGTTTTCTCTTTAAAAAGCCATTCCATAATTATGTGCAACTTACTCATCTCTGACTGGAAGAATGGTGTGCTCTCTGTCTGGGAACACCTCGAATCACTGCCAAGGAAGCTTCACAAAGTCATACTGCTGCAGCCCTCTGCCCTATAAAGCTCACTGTTCTGGTATCTGCACAGCTACTGATTGAAATCAGTTTTTCTTTCTTTACAGGAACTCAAGGCAGTGTGTGCAAATGTACAGAGCTTTTCTAAGAATTCTGAGCTATGTTCAAAATGATAAATTTTAGGAATATCAAAAAATCTGACAGGCTGTCAGCAATCATGCCTATGTCAGAAACTTCCTATTCAAACGTAAGCAGAATTGGATCAATCTATAAACATGCTGATAGCAGAGAAATACAAAAATGTTAACATTCATTAAATTCTGTTGTGACAGACACCTTGTAGCTATTCCTTCTAGGAAACCAATGTGATTTTGATAATAAAAAAAATAAAATAAAATTAAGTATAGCTTCACAGTAATAGTTAAGTAGTACAACTATTTGTGTTCTAGAAACTAAGAAAAAAGAGCAAACAATTTATTCTTTCAGAAGTTTCATAATGATTCTTCTGATGTTGCCTTGACTTCTAGTGTTTCCTGACTAAACAAAGCAATTAGCAATTGTAATGGTAGAAACCAATTTTAATTGCAATTGCTGAAAGATAGTTTTTATTAATTTCATGTCTCCATGTATTTTGTAGCATTTTTAAATATTAGCTGCTACCAAAAGAACTAGGAAGTCACAAGCAAAAAGTGTATCTTCTTATGGCATTACTCTGCATAAAATGTTAAAAGCTAATTTAGGTAAATCTGTACTTTTTTTTTTACCACACGTGAATACAGAAGAAAATACAATAAAATGGACAATCAGACACAGGATAAACATACCATTTGTATTTCTTCAGGTGACAGCTCATCTTCACCTCTGCTGTCCCCCCATAATCCAAGGTTACTTTGGGCATCGGGAAGGTTTCTATCTGTAAAAGAACCACCAAACACTTCAGACACTGAATTTTACAGGGCACTGAATAGTAAAGTCTAAATAATTTCTCATCCATGTTAGACTGATGATGAAATTGTTGTATCTTCTTTGTCAGTTACTGAGATTCACCCTGTATTTACAGCACAAAATTACATCAATAACCTTTAATTTCTGAACAGGTCCAAAAGCCTTCATGTAGGTTTAATCTTGTGAACTAAAGGGAGCTGCAGTAACATACTGACAGAGAAAGATGTAAAACAATTCATAATGCAGGAAGAGCTTTTAGGGCACAATACTGTAGCAGTTGTCTTTTAACAGAAAAACCACACAATTTTCAAAATGACAGTCTATATGCAAAATATTATCTTCCAGTGAGACAACAGAACCACCAGCCTCTCCTTTCAGAAATTAAAGACAGAATCTCAAAGATGTTTTGAGCAAAGCTCAAAGACAAACTCGATTTTGTCATGCTGTTTAAACTTCCTATTACAGAGCAAATCCCACACCACACTGTGCAAGAGGTCTTCCTGCATGTAACAGGAATCCGCTCCAGCCCCACAAATTAACCATAACACATCAAAGCTGCTTCATTCATTTCAGTCGTATTTCCCCTTTGATTAAAGCTACTCATCTGCATAAATCTTTGTATGAGTCGGGCATAAAAGATCATGAAGGGCTATTTCTGGGATATTCCCTTCTAGAAGATTTAATTTTAGGCTTAATTATATACTTCTGATTATAGAGGAAGAAGTTAGAATGGGAAAGAAACTGTGCTACAGGAATCTACTGTTTCTGAAGCTGTTCTAGCATCAGTGTTTAAAAAGCTTGTGAGACTACAGCCTTGAGAGAGTCTCTCTTCTCCCCAATGGCTGTAACAACCTTACAAAACCCAAGAGAGATCTGTACCACCCTGCAATGGATCAACCCTCAACCTGCTTTGATGCATTAAATGCAGATTGCAAATTAAAACCCAGAAAGATTTCATTTCTACCTTTCCATACATTTCAGGCTTCCTATTTATTCAGTCAATCTTTTGAGCATTTATGTGTATTTTAATTTGTTTTGTTGTAACTTCCTAGACATAATTTATTTCAATTACTTAAGCAGCACTGATGCATCATCATTCAGAGACTGACTTGTCTTGGGAAGCCTCTGAAAGGAGTAGTCCATTTATAATATGAAAAGAGATATAAAGAGAAGTTTTCCATTTTATCCTTCATGATGGTATTTGTGCAAACTCTTGAAAACATTAATACTGAAAAAGAGTATTGTGTATGTCGCCTTTATAAACTTTTTTTTTGCCTCCCAACAACCTAACCAGGATGAATAAACAATGACAATTGTTTATGAATGTTAAAAATTAGGGATGTGGATAAGGAATAAAATGAATTTAAAAAAACCAAAACAACCCCAAACCAAAAAATAGATCAGTTCTTTCTTATAAGTAGTAAAATATAAACCCAAGAATCTCTTTAAAGATTGTTTAGAAAGCATCCAACTATTTTTTTAATGGGGTACTATCAGTATTTCAAATCTATTTCACAGGAACACAAAACTTATTTGTTTATGTAATCAATGTATTTACATTATATCAAAATTACGATAAATTATTTACCATATTAAAAAAAAAATAGTTTATGGAGAAAAAAAAGAGAAAACCCTCCTATTTTATCCCAGAGGAACCAATTAGCTTTAGGCCCTGCCAGCACTGTTAAAAAACAGCACCTGTATCCAATGTGATGGCTAATAAACAAATACACTTATGGTAAGAGGTAAGCAAGAAACATGTATCTCCCCAGGGTTCCTCCTGTCACTGTGGGATGTTTTGGGCTTTCTGCAGCTTTCAGAGAGCTGACATTAATGCATTTCTGCAATTCAGCCAGCAAAAAAAGCCAAACTACATTTCTATTTCAGAAAGAGAAGTAGTTAACTCGTGACAGATATATAAAATAATGATCAAATCCTCTGAACCTTTTTCCACGCTGAAAGGAGACAGCTGCTAAGCTTGTGGACCAGTTCAAAAGCTACCCATTATTTACATTTATTTCCATAAACTAAATGTCAAATTTGTAATATGCAAATAAATACTGCCAGTATATAAAAGCACTCTCCAGAGACACTATTTTCCTACCATGAGCCACGTCCACTATAATTCTAATGTAAACAGGTGCTTTGCCTCAAAACAAAGGTAATCACATTTTGCTTTGGTTTCTGCCAAAAAACCAAACAAAACCCAAGTTGTGCTTCAGCATATCAAGTAGCACAGTCAGCTGTTCAAATTAAGGACAGGACCAAAAGCTGCTCTTAAAAGAATCTTTACAGATGACATTTAACCCAAGGGACTCAGATCCAGGCATGCTGCTGATGGCTAATTCATTCAAAAACAAATTATCACCATTCTCTAAACCACCAACATCCTGAGGATGAAAAAGCTTATTTCAAAATGCAAACATTTCTCTGGCTTCCTAAAAATTTGAAAAGTTACTTGGAAAAAAAGTACACATCAAAGGCTGTAAGATTTAAACTGAGCTTCTTGTTTGCTAGTCATCTTGTTCATGTTATTTTCACACTTTGACAACCACCTACCAGCGAAGTCACAAGGCTGATTCCTGTAAGCAGCAGCAACCAGCACTTTGTGAGGCTGTGTGCATTTGCATACTGTTCCAGACAGATTTATTTTGATATACAAGTTCCCTAGTTTTCTCAACGTCTAGTCAGCAAACCCTTGTAAGTACTGCAGCAGCACCACTTGTGTAGCAGGAGCCCAACTTTCTCATAAAAATTAAAGCAAAAATTCATGAAAGCGAGAATTGGAGTAATCAAAATTAATGCACAATAAAATAGCTGCATTTCTATTTACTGCAGTAGTTTGCTGTGTCCAAGGCAACCAAGGAACAGTATTTTCCATGGTGTGGCACAGATTTTTGGAGCTAAAAATTGTAATGACACTATATGGTGGGAGTGCACACTTCCACAGACTGCAGGGACATTTGGTAACAAGGAAAGATCACAGGGCAATGAAGATGCTACTATGCTGCTGCTTCTCCAGTGGCACCAGCTCACAGCTGCAAAACACTGATAACAGGTTAAGGTGAAACTCATCTATGCCTGTGTGCTGCATCACTTATGACACACTATAAAAAGTTAAGCACTAGAAATGGCACATAATCAAAACCTATACTTCTTACAATAAATTCAGTGTTGAGGGGGAAAAAAAGCACACTGATAGGGCTGCAGAAGTACAAACTGGTTAGGAAGATAAGAAAAGCCATTTTCAGAAAATGAAGTCATTCACACATTGTGAGGTAATTCAGTGTTAAGAGACTTCATCCAGAAGTGGAGCACCCACTTCACATGAATCCACCCTCTGTATGGCCCTGGAGTCACCTAACAGAAGAACTTTACTCTTTTAATAAAAATCACTAAAGAAACAATGGTTCATCAGAATAATATGGCCAACATTGCATTTGTTCTATCCTGATAAAGTATTATCCCAGTATAATGTAATTAGAAGGAAAAAAATTCCTGCTGTGAATCACAGGGTACCTTGGTCTTCTTTAGACAACACACGTGGGAAACCTCAAGCCAGGGAAAGCAACTTCAGAATCACGGAAACAAAATTTCTCTTTAGGCACGAAACCTGAAATTATCTGCATAGTGGTGGTACTCTGAAAGGCACTCTGCTCCAAAGCTCTGCCAGCACACACATCCCAGGACAGGCTGAAATGGCTAAAAGAATTGAAATGGCTTCTATCCCTTAGCCTGAGAAGCAGGCAACCAGGAATGAGAACCAGTGCTTGCAAATCCCATCAAGATCTGCACTATCTGAAATGACCCCAAGGTCAGAGATACTGTTTTGGACTTCTCCTGCCCACTGAAAGATGAGATGCAATCCCCCCAGCAGGGCAACCCAATGCTGTCAAGAAGAAAGCCCCAAAACTACTGGATCTGACCAGCCAACAACCTCCTCTGTGTGAGCATGTTTCACCTTCTAGTTCCTACTGCAGGAGTGTCCAACTCAAGGTCTTTGTGCTTAAAAACTACAGCACGCTCCCAGAGAGTCATTGACCTACTTTCTAAGTCCTTGCATTCACTGAAAGGAATATGGAAAAATCAGACAAATTTCAGAAGACACGATATTGATAAAAAAATAATGAAAAGGAAAGAGTTCATAAAGAGGTTATTAAGAGGATGAAGAATTCAGCAAAGCATATGACTTGTTTCGCTCACATGTCAAAAAGTTTAAGGCTTTGCTTCCTTGTTCTCCCGATATGCTTCACAGAAGCCTGATCAGCTCAAGGAAGATGAAAATGGAAAACATGCTAGTCATAGCAATTGACCCTTCTAAAGTGAAGGAAGTACTATTGACCAAACAGGTCTTGCCACAAAAAGTAAAATGTAACTATATTTTATTCTTACCTTTGCTTTCCTCTGCAAAAAGTTTTTCTTCAGAATCCTCTGAAGGACTCTGTGAAGATTTTTCAGTGGAAAGAGGAGCTTTGGACACATTGCTCTGCTCAGGTTCAAGTTTGGACCTAGAAGTACAAAAGTCTATGATTTAACTGATACTACACAGATATATTTCTCTACAATGAGAACAACCATGGATTACTAAATTCAGTACTTTAACTCTTTTGAACTTCACATTTAAGGTTTTCCAGCCAAGATACAAAATGTACTTAGCAACTGTCACTGAAACATTATTACAAAAGCAAAGAAAGCATAAATAGTATTCCTGAACAAAATGCACCACATGCTTAGAGTTGAAAATACTGAAGGCTACAGCATAAAAATATTGACACTTTATTAAACTTCATTTCAAAAATCCAGTGTATTAGTTTTTTTTAAAAAAGCGAACATTTAGGTCATACTGAAAAAAATTAGTAGCAATGGCTAAGCACTACTTCTTTATTTTTTTCAAATAATAATGATAATTTTACTCTATATTTTCAATTATCATAAAGGAAATACAATAGAATTAGCTTTCTTATACTACTTTTAAGTCCCTATTAGGTAATTTTACAAAGGCAATGCAAAACATGAGAAGCTTATTCAGTGACTATATGTTAAGTACTTGTCAAGTATGTTTCAGTGTGGCATCAAAAAATGTTGAAAATTAGTGGCAACATGTTCATGTTTTTTTCCTAAATTTCTGTGGTTTATTATTTTCTACAATGAATTCTGTAACTGCTACATAGCAGGCAGTTAAATGTTTAGTAATGCTGTTGGAGAAAGTAAAGAACCAAAAAAACAAAAACCAGCGGGTGGTATCACCGCTGTGCCAGGTGATTCCACCCTACCCTTTATCACTTCCTACCCTCTCAAATATAATCAACAGTTAATCTCATTACAAGTTGCAATTCTCCCCTGTGCCTAACAGAAGATGTTGCCTTTTGTGTTCCTTCTTTGCATTGTGTCTAAATTCTAACTCATAATAAGAAAATTCTGTGAAAAACAGAATATAATGCAATTATCACTGAGTGATCACTATTTAACAAGAAAAAACTGTAGCAGGGAACCTTTTTTAGTTACAAAACCTCTGCAAGTACTGGGCTTTTGGTAATTTTACAGAGAAGAATTCTTCTCTCATCTCCTCCCTCTCAAATTTGCCTAATAATAAGAAAAAAACCCCACTTATCAACATATCTGTGCAGTTCAAATAATAGTTTTAATGCTAATAAAACACCATTTCCCCATGTAACAAAAATATCAGCTTGATTTGAATAATTGCATACATAATTCACAAAACCTTCTAATGGAAAAAGAAGTTTAAAATTGAAATAATCTTGAATACCAATAAACATTAAAATTGAAAATTACACCCAAGCACCATTAAAAAAAAAATGCTTGTGTTTCTATTTCTCAGCTTTTCTTTCTGTGAAGCTAGTCCTAACCATCTGAACTTTTTAATCAGAAAATGTGAATGAATACATAAAGGCAACCTCTGTAAGAAAATTATAACACTCAGGCAATTTGTTGAAGAGGATAGTTATCAATATAAAAGGAAACATGATGAAATATATTTCTATGGCAAACTTTTCAGTATTGTCTGATATGCACATATTCTAAATTGACTAAACGTCAGGAAAGAAGAGCTGCACTAGGATTAATTTATTTCTAAAGAAACATATTCCTTTATTGTTTGTTGTCCTTACTGTGCACAGTATAGGAATACAGGAAACTTTCAATTTAAAATGAACAAAGTGGGATGCACTGTTTAAAGGATGCCTGGTTCTTTTAAGAGAGGGTACATATTCTTATCACATAAAGCACTTGCTGAAATCCTCAGGGAAATTACAAATCAACATTACTATTTTTCTTTAAGTCATAATAAAGGTAGGGTTATGCCCTGTGATTTATTTTAATTGAATTTTTAATTTAAATGACAATTTAGCCATTACATCACATCTGCAGTGCATACAGACTCCACCTGGTCAACATCTGTTTTCTTCTTCTTGCATCCATAAAGAGAGGAATAGAGGGAACCTCCAATAAGAATGTATCTTTTGGGTTAATTCTTAATGCCTTACTGCTCTTTAGTTAAGTGGTACTCTAACTTCCGAAATAACACATCAAATTGAGGTTTTTTTCTCTATTTATTCATCTGACAAATCCTGAACCTGGGATTTCACAGGAAACAGTAACGTAAGAGTAGTAACAGAAGAGCTGGTATTCATTAGCTACTGCTATGACTGCAGGAACAATGCTATCTTTCTTTGAAGCTCTTTCATATGAAGAATACTGATAAGATTCTGTATTTTTACACATTAAAAGTATCACACAGTTTTTTTTTTCTGAAAAGTAGTGGGAGCTACAAAAACACCAATGCCTTACTTTTCTCTTATTACTTCTTACCAAGTTTCAGAAGTGATTTGTGGTATTTTGTTTTCTTGGTTTTGGTCTTATTCCCCACATGTACTACTATTTATGCCTCATGGGGATGTATTTGAATGAATCTAACTGTGCTTAATCAGGCTGAATCATTCTATCAATATCAAAATATACATATGAACTTTTGAAAACGTCTCTCTGGGTTCAATGTAACTGTAGCTGATCAACCCAAACACCAAACTGATAAACCCGCACCAAGTCTTGGAAAAATGCTCAAGAATTTATTTATGTGCATGTTCTAGAACTGTATTATTTTAAGTTAAAATATAGATAATGGACCTTGAGGTTACTATTCAAATGATGCAGAGTGAGAAGACATGGAAAACCTCTCCGGTATTAAATAGATTGCAAACCTGCTCAGTTTCCGTATCATTCTCGTAACTGTGAGTATGCAGAAAAAGAAAGTGAAGAAATACGGAGTTTGAAACTTGACTAAAAAAAAAATCCCACTAGACCAAAAAGGCAGCAAACACATCACCTGTAAAGTCCCCATGACATTTTCAGCTCTACATTAGCAGCCTTAACAAGTGCCACTATAGGAAGTGGAAGCTCTTGTTTCTATTCAGAAATTACATTCTAGTTTTTTTGTTTTCATCATGTTTCTGCTTGCCATGAACACCTGCCATCCCAAGCAGTATTTATTAAAAACAGTCACCTGTTCAGCAGAAAGATAGGATCTTTTAAAAAAAGCAAAAAAACCCATTTTGGTGAATTTGTAGAAGTCAAATAGGTTTGTTAACCTGCATTTTACTGATTTGTGCTTTTATCCTTTACCTAAATGAGAACTACAACACTATAATGGCACTCTGCTGCTTTCAGGCTTGACTTCACATGCCTGAAGTGTAAAGAGCCTGGAATACACCTGTTGACATCAGAAGTTGCTCATCCACCCAAACCACAAACTTCCATAAAAACAATCTCCTTAGAATCTAAACATGAACAATAGTTTTGGTGAATGTCCTAACAGTGAAAGGCACAGTTAAACTATTTTTTTACACTACTCACAGTCTCTTCTTATCTATTACTTGCTTAACTCGGATGGCTCTTTGTTCAGAATACAGCTTGCACACTCCTGTTCAAGACAGCAGTAAATAAAATTTCAGGTTAAAAGACCAAGATTCCTTTCTTGGAAAGTACAATCAGCCATTTGTAACTATTCAGTAAACTAAGTACTTTTTAAGTAATCTTCAATGAAGTCCAAGACAGCTGTTCTGTGCTCCTTCACCTGAGCAGACTGGACACCCTTGTGTGCTGAAACACAAAAGAAAAATATAAAACAATCTTTTAACTTTTTACTGAATTCCACAACAGTTTGCACTTTCAGTTGACATGTAAGTTATATTCAAAAGCCTAGTCACATTTTATATATGTACTATATTAGTATTTCTTTTAAACACAGCGATATTTAAATATAGATTCTCTAAAACAGCAAGTCATTACAATGAACCAAAAACTGGAAATAACTAGTGTCCTAAAGGATTTTTATATATGCCACAAAGTTCTATTATGTCAATTAAACTCTAAAAAGTTTAAACAGGCAGCATCTAGCTAAGAACAGCAAAATAGATCTAGAGATTTAATTGCTTGAATTATTGGACTTGTTCAAATTCTCTAGTATATAGACTATGTGGAAATTTTTGGGATTTATTGTGTCAAACATCCTTTTAATTCACATATATCTTTTTCATTTTTATACTATGCAGTTCCCATGTATGACTGACATTCAATGATTCTGAATAATGAATAAACTAAGTTTAGATGGCATTTAAAAGCTGATTAAAATCTTTTGTGTATCAATAAAATAAAGATGCAGCAAGCCAACTTGAAAATGGCAACACAGAAATTCTGTCTCTACGACTTTCACAAGATAGTGTAGTAAAGGTATGATCCCATACTCAAGTTGTCAAAACCACTTTTGATTAACCAGGACTCTGTTAAAGTTATTTAATTATCTCAAACTTGCAAGTATTATACCTGTAATACCTTACAGGTAAACAAGCTAGTAAAAGACTACCATCAAATTTAGAGAGCTTTGGTTTAGGCCTCTGTGCTGCAGTGCTGAATTACTACTCAAGTAGCAAATATCTCTTTTTTACACTTGTTAATTGGTGTATTTGAACACATAAACAAAATTCTATGCTCTGGCTTCTCTTTCCACTATCATTAAAGAAAATGGAATTACAGTACTAATCAGCCAATGGCATTACACCAACGCTAACAAAAAGGCAACGAGACTTCCCCAATCTTTTTCCTAAAGCATTTAAGATTCACCATTATTCAGCATTACCTTAGCCTTTATCAAGAACTCAAAAAACCATGTTAGAGCTGCTTAGTTTACCTTCTGTTCTGAGCTGATGGATGGCATCAGCACACGTTCTCATAAACACCTGGGCATCTTGATCTATCTGGTCACGCTCTGTATCCGTCATCCTCACATAATCAGACATAATATGGCTGAGAAACAAGAGAAACTTGTCAATATATCCCCAACATAAAATCCCCAAGTACACACCTCAGACCTTCTCATGACTCACCATCTTTGTAAGAACTTTTCTGCAACACTGATTTTCACAGAAAAAGTAACAAAAAGTACAGTAACTACCACTGATAAAAATGCCACTTCTATAATGTTGGGAGGCTTTTATTTAGAACACTTTTACTAGTAAAGTATGTAGAAAAAGCAGTGCCTCTTATCATCTTCTACATAACTAAACACAGAAAAGATAAAAGAAATACAACCAGAAAATATATCATTGCCCTCAGTACTTATTCCAATAAAGTGTCCTAAAAACACAAAACCAATTCAGATAAAGGAATAGCTCAAATACTGAAAGCTGTACCAAATAAAGGAACTTATTTTACTTAAATATGCTTTCATTATGGTAAATACAGTGCTTCCTTTTTAAAGTAGCTGTACTATGAAATTGTGAACTCAAACTAGAGGAAGAATACTGGAAAATAATGCACAATTTTAGTATCAAATTGATTGCAATATTTATTAAAACCTATTCCCATTGTTTATTTCTATGTTAGATTATATATTATGCATTTAGTATTTTCTAATGCTAATATATCTTTTTGTTGCTAAATTAATAAAAATGGAGGCCTGTCCTTAAGCTATTAACTCACTGTAGGTAACCAGGAGAAAAGCATACTGTATATGCTACAGTGTAAGGTATTTAACAGTGTTTCCACATCCATAGGTGACAGGATGATAAAACTGCTACAGCAAAAAAAAGTTCATATTGGGTTTCCTGATGATACAGGGATCACAGCCTATTATATCTTCTTTTTAAAAAGCAAAGAAAACCTTAACTCTTACCTGCATTTGAAATATTTTTTTTTTATATGTGAAAATTTCCTCATGTGTAATACAACTATATTAATGCAGTAATACAAGTAAAAAGAGAGGATCTTCAATATTTAGCCTGGTAAGTTTTAGCCTTAGAAATCTCTTACACACTTCACTGCAGTCATGCCAAGGCTCCCTTGTGTCTGCTACAACCCCAGCCACAGGAATACCTAGAACCAGTTCACACAAGCCCATCTCATCACTTCATCCTGTACAAGCCCAGCAGCTCCTTCCTGCATCATCAGTGCACTGCAAGCATGGGTCCACATCTCCTCCATAAAGCTTTAAGCAAACTCTAAAGTCTTTGAGTATTATACCAAAATCTCTTCATTCCCATCCCATATTACTGGTTTTACATAAAAAATCAGCACATGGTTCATCTGACTTGAAAATTAGTTTCTGCTTATTGGTCAGCCAGTACACAAGGACAGATGAGCAAGCAAATAGTAAGACAAACTAATTTGAAGTAATATTCTATATTTTACATATTTGTTTCCAAAACTGCCATGTATTTGACATCTAAATATCAGAGCATTTTTCCCCCTCTTGTTAAAACTATTCTAAATTTATAAAATTATCCTTTATTTCTTAGAGAAAACCAGCCATATGTAGTGTTTCCATTTATGTTTTAGTAACTCACTACTCTTCTTTGTCCAGGACAGACGGGTTTCATAAATTTGTGGCAAAATCCCTATCACAGCCATAATCAGTGTTTTTCTAAGCTGAAACTCTACATCACACTTGCTGAGAAAGCAGCTTCTCAAGGATGAAAGATTTGAAATTGCCTGATTTTAGAAATAGCTGAAAAGAGAGAATTTCCCCAACCTGGCTAAGACGATACACTGGCAGTTACAAATGCAACATAAGATAACTCATACTGCTAAATATACTGGAGCAGACGTCTCCCCTACTCCCTCTGCACAGCTTGTATAGGTATTTTTGTTGCTAGTCTGTAGGATAAGCAAGTTCTAAGCATGTGTAAAGCCAGGAAATCCATTCCTACATCCATCTCCACACAGGCCAAGACAGAAGGGGGCCATTAAGACCATCTGGTATGGCATAATTCATAATATCATTCAATGAGCTCAGCCTAGAGAGTTACTTGAGCTTTTTGGGGCACACAGATTTAGGTGGGAAATAAGGATGGAGTAACAGCTGCATGAGGGCTCCTTGATGAAAAAACTCTATGCTTCTATTTCAGATTATAATAATAAATTCTGGCTGGTCTACTACTGAACAGGATATAATGTTCTTGTGTTTGCATGTCTAGCTTCTTGTACCCTTCCCAGCTTTGTAGTATTTGCAGACCTCTATGCTTTCCAGGCACTTTTTAACATAAGAGGGTAAAATAAAGATTACAAAACACAAACCAGAATTTTCTTTTACATCAGACTTAGAAATAAATATGAAAAAACGTGCCTCAGGCACACTTCATTTTCTACTAACAGTATAACTAGTGGCAGTGTAGTGATACACTGAGGATAACTGCAACAGCTTTTTAACATTGGGAACCAAGTTGTTAAGTTACTTTTCCTAGTTACTTATATAAAAACAGGGTAGATCAAATTCTTAAATAGGAGTTTCACAGCTTCAAAGCTAGTAAAATGCAGCTTAATCCAGTAAACAAGAAACAGAATACTCTTCCTTTCATAACTGCTTACAGCTTACATAGCATCTGGTACCAGTGCTTTTGAACATGAGCTGGTCAAGCCACTCAGAGGGAAGGATACCTGAAACCCAAACTCCTTGGGAAGGCAAGAATGGAGTCATACAATCACATCCCATTATGTCAGAACACATATGGCATCCACTAGCACTAACAGGGCACTGAAGTCCCCACTGCACTCCCGAGCAAATCTGCACATGGAGATTATTCTGAAAATCCATTTAATCACCATCCTCTACCGGAAGAGAAACCGTTCATTAAAATAAAACAGGCCAAAGAAAACAAAACCACATAAAAACATCAAACAAAAAACAACAGAATGGAAAAAAAAATCCAGCTGTGTCATGTATGTCAGAGATACAAATGCATGCTCAGAAGAGCTGTGGCAGTATCACAGCAGTGGATCGTTCCATCACTAAATCAAAAAGGGCCAGCAAACCAGGTTTGCAGAAGCAATCAGAATAATTAGCTAAGATATGCCCAGATAAAGAACGGAGAAAGGAGGAAAAGAAATTCCTCTGGATTTTCATCTTTGCCAATATGAGAAAACTTCATCAGAAACTTGGGCTAGAAGGCAACTTGGTTTTTATTTGTGATTTTTAACAGTGGGTGAAGAGTACAATGAAGACAGTGACCATCAAGTAGGCAGATTTCATCAGTCTAGAAAAATGAGTAGGTCAAATTGCAGCAGAAATGCAAACCTAAAAAGGAACATAAAAGAATTCAAATGAACTAGTAGTTTTCATATAGAAATTACATTATGATAATTTGAAATTCTGCCCTTGATGAAAAGAAAGTAGGCAGTACAGTGAGAGATCAACTGAGTCTTGTTGAGCTCAGACAGAAAGATCAGAATACAAAGTGCGAATTCTGATTTCTATTGACAAGTCTAAAGAAATACAGCATGCAGGGAAACACTGAGAAAAGGATTAAGTGCAGGATGAGACACAACTGGGAAGGGATGCCAGTGATAACAAGAGATTGCTCTGCAAACATTACTATAAGGAACACTTAAGAATGTGATCTTGGCTTGTTACTCAACAGAGAATAAAATTATATGCAGAGTATGAATTCATTCTAGATGTTTATTGCTTTGTTTTGGTTTTTTTTTGCACTAACTTTTATCATTAATGTCACTTGAAAGCTGCAGTTACTATTCCTTTTAGCTTATTGCTTCTCAGTCATCTGGGCCAAATTTAATATCTGTCATTTTAAAAAGATCATAATTCTTTGTTGATATTATCAAACAATAGCATGCGTCAGATAATGTATTAGTCAACAGGCTGCTGAGTGAACAGTGTGTGAGAGAGAGCTACAGGAACCAGGTCATAGCACAAGTGTACCTGAAGGTGCAGTGGCTCCTGGGACAACGCTGAAGGTAAACTTGGTGAGGTGCATATCCCTCCTATCTGTGTGACAAAGCTGTGCTCTTGAACGGAACTAACCAACTTCCAAAAAAAGCCCAGGGTGTGTGCACATTCATACAGTGTGCAGAGACAGGAGACCAAGCCCTGGAATAAAATGGGAAATGCATCAAATGACAGGATGAATCCTCACTGCTTAGAACTAGGAGAGAATAAGCAAGTGACAGATTGATAAAAAGACGAAGGTTAGCAACTGCCTTTGAAAATAGGGTTAAAGGGACAAAAAAAGCACAGAAGACTTGTAGACCACTCTGTCTAGAAAATTACAGGAATAAATAATATTTAAGCACTTAGAAAAGAACAAAAAGATTATCAGAACCCAAGATGTATCAGTAGTACGTCATAGGCAGTGTAATTTACTGCTGGGATGCAGTAACAGGTCTTATGGATGGATGAAATGCAATCACTGCTATATTTTGGTGTGGCTCTTGTTATCATCTCACATAACATTCTGATAAGCTACCAGTGAATAAATGAGTTAGAAGAAATAAGCTCCATATGAATGTGAAACTGCAAACTTAAACTGAGGGGTATTTATACACCAAAACAGAAGGAAACACTGAGGTGTGTTTCACAGGATCTTGTCCCGAATCTGATGCTATTCAATACTTTCATTAATAACTCAGCAGAATGGAGTATATACTTATTAAACTTTCAGAGGCATAAAGTTAAGCAAATTAAAACTGTATAAAGAGAAGAAGACTTCAATTCAAAACAATATTACCTGGAGAAATAACTTGAAAAATTTTAATAAGGAATGGTCAGAAGCTCTTTGCTGCAACAAGAACAATTATCTGAAACCACAGAGAATGGGGAACAACTGATTGGGGAACAGTTCTTCAGGAAGTCATCTGGGATCATATTGGATCATAAACCAAATACAACAACAACAACATGCTGTTGCATAAAAAGTCATCATTACAATGGGATACATTATTCTAGTAACATGGATAGGGAAACAGGAAAAAGCAGAATGAGAAAATGAAATCTTCACTGAAAGAAATATTTAAAA